GGAGGTAGGGGTCGAGGGTGAGGTGGTGGGTCGAGGGTGAGGTGGTGGGGTCGAGGTGAGGTGGTGGGCTCGGAGGGCGAGGTGGTGGGGGAGGTGGTGGGTCGAGCGGGAGGTGGTGGGTCGAGCGGGAGGTGGTGGGTCGAGCGGGAGGTGGTGGGTCGAGCGGGAGGTGGTGGCTCGAGCGGGAGGTGGTGGGTCGAGGGGGAGGTGGTGGGTCGAGGGTGAGGTGGTACATTAAGGTCGACTGTGTGTAAATTTTAGTTTGAGTCCATTGATAGTTACTGGGCAGCTTATTTACCACAACACAGGCAGACACACAGACAGACACAGACATACACAGACATACACAGACAGACACAGACCACTATACACCCCACTACACCATACATGACATAATAAAAAACAAAATAAAAACAAAACAGTAATTTTTCTTCTCTATAAATATGTAATAAATCCCATAATTAAAACCGAATTTAAAAGAGAAAAAAAAATCACAAATTCGTCTCAGGTTGGGAGGTGGAAGGGCAGGTAATTTAACCAGGTAAGAGGGAGTTATGAGACGGTGTGTGGAGGCCGTCACACACACACACACACACACCTGGCACACACACACACACACACACACCTGCACCTGCCCTCACCTGGCCTTATTCTCCCTCTCTCACCTTTACCTGTTCCTCGTGTGCTTAAATTATATTCCCCACGAGACCTCCTTCAGAGACCTTAGAGACGCCCCTACACCCAAGTGCTGCCTAAGACGCTGTAAATGGTGAGTGTGTGTGTGTGTGTGTGTGTGTGTGTGTGTGTGTGTGTGTCGCGTCCACTGTTTTTTAAATTCCCACTCTTCAATATTCTTTTTCCGTACACGAACGCCACTACAGGATAAAAAGATTGTAACGCCAGGTGTTGTTGATTGCTCGTAATGGCGAAGTGATGGTGGCTTTAGTGAGGTTGTTCGAGATCTTTATTGATTGTTATTCAGATCATTGATGAGTGAGTGGGGTGATGAGTGAGTGGGGTGGGTGAGTGGGGTGGTGGGTGAGTGGATGGGTGGGTCAATGAGTGAGTAGGTCAATATGTGAAACAGTGAGTGGTGATTGAGTGGGGTGGCTAGTGAGTGGGTGGGTGAGTAAGTGGGTGGATGAGTAAGAAGGTGAGTGGGAATGTCAATGAGTGAATGAGTGGGCGAGCGAGCGAGCGAGTGAGTGAGTGGGTGGGAGAAAAAAGAACCCTACATCAGCCCTACGTCAATTTGTCACTTCCTCCTCGATGAAAACAAATTATTAGGTCTGATAATGGTGTTTCCTTTGAGCAGCTGTAGCGTAGAGTGTAGGGGGGCAAGTGGACCACGAACCACGAACCGTAATAATCTGAGCGCCACGGACCATAATCGCCTAAATCACGGACCATAATCACTCGAACCACATAATAACTCGACCCAAGACGCCCCCCCTTGTTGGTTGTGACATGTAATCTGTATAGCACATAGGTCACGGGTATTGACTGTTGAAACGGTAATCGAAACACCAAGATTGGCCCCGTGTTTTTGATGGGTTGAGATGACTCATTCTCTTATGTGTACCGCTGCGACCTGGGGATAGAGTTTTATGCCAGGGGATTGGTTGGTGAATTCCCTCGGTGTTTTGTGAGGGTAGAATTAAGCTTTGTTTGTGTGGAGTTGTGGGAGGGGAGTGTGTTGTGGGAGGGGCGTGTGTTGTGGGAGGGGCGTGTGTTGTGGGAGGGGCGTGTGTTGGGGGTGTGGGGGAGAGGTGTAGTGGGGTGGGGAAGGGTAGGGTAGGGTAGGGTGTGCGTCTGTTTGTTGAGGTTATTTATATATTTAAAGGGACGTGTTAAACCATCTTCCTCACAGAGTTAAACCATAGTTCTTAAAGAGTTAAACCATATTCTTGAACGGTTTAAGTCTTAACTCTTTTAATATAAATTACGTCATAAAAACAAAAATAACATGAAAAATATAAATGGCTAATCCCACCTGACCTGACCTGATCCTGAAATAGATGTTGACCCAAAAGAGTAGCGGAGGGAGTTTTGTTCGCGACGGTACAGTCATTCATACACACAGCCAATCAGTGACAAGAGGTCGGGTGATTCTCTTCGTTAATTGGACGGTGCCAGATTAAAGATCCTTAGTGATGCTCATCTCAAATTGGCACTGTAACCTTTGACCTTTTACCTGTGAACTTGATCTTGACCTGTGACCTTGACCTTTTGGCTCCAGCACACACGGGAGGTCAGGGAGTACAGGTTTGGTTAGGATTTGTACTGTGTGTTGACGTCACCTGGTGTTGTTTATGTGTACAGGTAAGTTAGTAAGAGAGGGGAGAGACACTCGGTGAGAGGAGAGGGAGACACAAGGGGAGAGAAGAGGGGAAAGAAAGGGGAGAGGTGAGGGGACGAGCAGTGAGGGACCTGACGTGTGAGGGAAGGTACGGGTGAGGTGTAGGGTGTATAGGTCAGGTGTGTGTATAATAATGTTTAGGTCTTTTCTCTGTTGATAGTTTTAGTGGAGTTCAACCGTCTCTCTCTCTCTCTCTCTCTCTCTCTCTCTCTCTCTCTCTCTCTCTCTCTCTCTCTCTCTCCACCAAGGTGACGGGGTGCCAGTAGCCCCAGGAGAGGGTGGACGAGAGGTCTTCACCTGCCTGACGCCTCTGATGGGATACTTTATTAAATGATATATAAATACATTTACTCTCGACCTGTGCCTTGGGGGTATGTTGGAGGATGACCTCGGGCTGAGTGGTAGTGGTGATAATGGTCGCAACGGGGGTGGTGGTGGTGGTAGTGACAGGGGTGGTGATGATGGTTGCAGGGGTGATAGTAGTGGTGATGGTAGGGGGGGGGGAGGAACTGTGCCTGTTGTTGCCTGTGATTGGCAGCGACGGCGTGACTGACTAAATGACGTCACGGCTCGAGAACCAATTAAAATACGTCTCTTTGTAAATGTCGTCAGCGTGGGGAAAAATGCCCGAGGGAGTGGGAGACCTTCTTGTAGTGTTAGCCTCCTGAAGGGGGGCGTGACAGGCCTGGGTGGGTCCTGGTCAGCCGTGAGATGGGTGGGTGGGCCTATATTACCGTTGCTTCAAGTGTTAAGCATCATCAGGTGTAGAGTGACCCCTCCCCCCCAGCCAGGTGAGCTGTACCCTGATTAAAGAAAACATTGAGTGTGTGTGTGTGTGTGTGTGTGTGTGTGTGTTCTCCTCATACATCAGCCTCAGACCAGCAGGAAACTTCTCACATGGGAAACCAATGATGTTTGTTTACTAAGCTCGTCCACAACAAGACCCGGGGCCAACACCTGAAGAAGTTGTCCCGTGTTGGCGGCGTCTGCGGGGAGGTCATGTCAACAGTGGTGGTCGAGGGTAGTTAAGAGCCTTGTTTAACTTGGTGTGTGTGTGTGTGTGGGGGGGGCTGTGTGGGGGGGGACTGTGTGGGAGGGGATGTATGTTTGTGTCTTTTTAAATGATTAATTCCATAACAAACATTAAAAAAAAAAATAAGAACCATCTGCCACTTAACATTCAATAACAACTACACATGCATAACCATCTAACAATTTCACAACTCATAAGAGATAACCACCAGCCCTTTACAACCACGCCCCCTCCCCCTCACTCACCCGTCCACCTCAACTACGGAATTCACTGGGTCAAAATTCCTCTCGCCATTTCCCTAAATTATTCAAATTCCTTCGTAATTATGACTTTTATTTGGCGGCCTTCAGGGGACAATGGACGACCAATCAACCAGAAAATTGAATAACAAGTCGATGTGTCAGTAGTCTTGGTGTTTTATGGTTGACGCTCTCGGTCGGTGTTTTGGGGTGAGGGTGAGTGGGTGGGAGAGAGAGGGTGAGTGGGTGGGGGAGAGAGGGTGAGTGGGTGGGAGAGAGAGGGTGAGTGGGTGGGAGAGAGAGGGTGAGTGGGTGGGAGAGAGAGGGATGGTGACGGTGGGAGAGGACGAGTGGGTGGGAGAGGGATGAAGTGATTAGGAAAGGTAAGGGCGAGTGGTTGGGAGAGGAACGAGTTGGTAGGAGAGGTAAGATTAGAGTGGGCGAGGGATGAAATGAGTGGGCGGGCGAGGGATGTAATGAGTGGGCGGGCGAGGGATGAAATGGATAGACGAGGTAAAGGTGGGCGGGCGAGGTAAGAGTGTTAATTAATATAATACCTGAAATACTAAAGAACTGTACTGGGTCTTCAGGTGTCCGTGTGCCAACCAATCAGCTGCCTTGTTACAAACTGACCCTAGGCCTCTTTTCCAAGCTTCGAGTGAACAACAACAAAATCACAATTAAAAAATAAATACACAATAAAACAGACAAACACAAAAGACTAACAAGAACAAAATCTTCAGGTAATTCACAGGTAAGACATACAGGTATTCCCTTAATCTTCTTCAACAAGGTAAAACAGCCGAGTTAAAACGACTTCATCTTACTAAATTGACCTGTCACCTGTCCTGAGTGTTGGAGTGTGTTACGGTGTGTTGGGATGTGTTGAGAGGGTCAGGGAGGGTTGGGGGTGTGTTGGGAGTGTGTTAGGTATGTGTTGGAGTGTGTCAGGGTGTGTTCAGAGGTGTTTTATCTCCCGGGAACTCCAAGGTAATAGTGTGTTTTTTGCCTGGTATGATGGAAGTGTGTATGTGCGTGTTCCTTCATTTCTCTTTTCTTTCTTCTTCTTTCATTATTCTCTCTATCACTGTGTTTGTCTTTCTCGTAAATCATAATGTAAGGATGCACTTAACTGATTGACTTAAGATAAAACACCAAAATAATAAGTAATTATATCACAATAACTTAACCTTAACTAGATACGTTCACTTAGCACCAGTTAGGAGACAAAATTATCACTGAGGGACTGTTATAGGTAGGTTGTGATTATAGAAAGACTAGCTATAGGTACTGAGACTTAATAGGTTGTGGTTATAGGTGTTGGGGATATATTGTTTGTGTTATAGGTAGGTTATAATTATACATACGGTGGTCATATTCTTTATTGGCGTTATAGGCAAGTTATGATACAGACAGCTTATAATTATAGTAGACATAAGTTAGTTTAGGTTAAGTTGGGCGATGTTGGGTTAGATTAGGTTGGGTTAGTTTAGGTTAGGGTAGATCAGGTTAGGTTAGGTTCACTACCTCAACGAAGCTTCATACCGCCGTAGCTCCGTCTGTTCAGCCAGGGCACTGAGTGATAAGTAATCATTGTGTTTCTGGTCATATGTAACATCAGCTATTTTCTGTAGTTTCTCCTCCATGGCCGCCATCACCTGGGCCTGTTGGGCGGTACACTGAGGCTGGCAGTAGTTCCCGGCCACACACACACCTACACCGGGATCCATCACCATGCCGGGCTTGCAGTCGTAGTGGTGATCCTCATAGGGTGAGCCTTCCTCCACGCAGATGTAGAACCTGCGACAGTCGAGAGGGTCAGGGATCTGGATGTTGTTGGGGTAGCAGAAGACGACGCAGGGGTCACGGCAGCAGGACTCGATATTCTCCACACAGAACTGTCCATTGAAGTAAGGTCGGTCTTCAGGGCAGATATATGGCCCTGACTGTCCATCAGCGTGACAGAGGTAGTAGCTATTACAGTCAAAGGGATCAGTTAGTAGATCACCCTCACTGTTACAGGTATAGTGACAGGCGCGGCTGGTGGTGGTACTGACGGGTGTGGTGCAGGAGGGGGTACAGCCATCGTCAGGTACACAGTCACCATACGTGGAGGTGAACCTGTGCTCGGCGGGGCAGGGGATGGAGTGATCAGAGGGGTGTCCTTCCTGGAGACATATATAGTAGCGGTGGCAGTCATTAGGGTCTTCTACCATGTCCTGGGGATCCATGTTACTACAGTCAGGTGTACACGGGTCCTGGCCCAGCGTCCCGCCCGTACACAGCACCTGGAGGAGGAACACCTTCTATAACACGGTGTTGAGAAGACATTTTAGAGGTTGATGTACTTGGCTGAGGAGGTCGTGTGTACAGGTGATGTGTGCGTGTGTGTGCGCTCAGGTGACGTTAATAGTGTTCGTGTAGGTGTACAATCAAAGACAAAAGTCGTGTCGTGGTTTTGTCCGAAGATTTAATATAACTCGTGAAACATTATGAGAGCCCCCCTACCACAAGGCAGAGTGCACCAAAAGTTTTAGCCCTTCGGCATATGTTTTCACCAAATTTCACGACACGACTTTTGTCTTTCATTATACATGTAACGTTGATAGTGTGTGTGTGTACATATTTTATCACCATCACCATCAACAATCTTAATTCATACATTCTCCTCCCTGCTAATTACCACAGTTAAACGCCCAAGACATAAAACGGAAGAGAAGGAAACAATTGAATGAACACACTCAAGGGGGAAGGAAAACTTAACAGGATTATTAAAATTAACAAGTTTTCTCTAACTCTCTCACACCAGTAGATCTTAAGAGACAATAACAAGACCTCGCGAATACTAAAGACCTCAAGACTCGCGAATACTAAAGACCTCAAGACTCGCGGATACCAAACACATCAAAAGTCCGGAAAATTAAGACAAATTATATCTTGTTTGTCGCAGTTTCTGATGTTTGGACAAAGTGAGTTAAAAAAAAAAAAGATGTGCTTGTTCAGGGCTTCGTTTCAGTGGTTCAGAGGGATTCGTTCAAGGTGTTCGAATCAGTGAAGAGAGTAAATGGATGGTGTTTTGGTGGTTAATGAGAGAGGGTTCGACATTGTCTGTCTTAGTTAGTCCTTTTCTACCTGTCTCTGTCTAGTTTCCTATTTATCTGTGTGTTTGTTTCTCTGTCTTTGTCTCTGTCCATCTGTCTCTATGCATGTCTGTTAGTCAATCTTACTTTTTTTATTTCTGTCTGTCTAGCTTTCTTACTTTCTATCTGTCTGTGTCTGTCTACCTGTCTATCATTCTTACTTACTATCTGTTTGTGTCTCTTACCTGTCTATCTTATTTTCTGTCTGTCTGTCTGTCTGTCTATGTGTCTGTCTGTCTGTCTGTCTGTCTGTCTGTCTGTCTGTCTGTCTGTCTGTCCTCCCCCCAGTAAAAGATAAACAACACAAGGACGTCATATTATATTTACTGAATCCTTCCAAGATCCTTCGACGCGGGCCCTCAAGATGTTGGGATTTACATAATGTTTTATACCAGGGTCTCTCTCTCTCTCTCTCTCTCTCTCTCTCTCTCTCTCTCTCTCTCTCTCCTTTTATTCCCTATTTCTTTCTTTCTCTCTTTCTCTCAATTCTATACGTAAACATATATCTACACACACACACACACACACACACACACACACACATCTTGTTTAGTAATTGATTAAAGAAACGCCATCTCAATCAATCAACTAATCAAGGTACCATCATCAGATCTGAGGGTTGGCGACCACAACCCTCCTCCCCAAACGTGTTCCTACAGACTGTCCTATACTAACTCTTCCCAAGTGTTGTACAGTATGTCTCAAGAGGTCATGACTTTTGACTTTCCATTCGTTCATCCTTGTCTCTTCCTCCCCCTTCCCTTCCCCCTTGGCCCTCCTACTCTTAGTTTCACCCATTATAATTATCATTATCACTTAAACCTTACTATATTCATTAATGGTTAGGTTAAGTTAGGTTAGGTTAGGTTAGGTTAGGTTAGGTTAGGTTAAGTTAGGTTAGGTTAGCATTAGGATAGTTAATCTTGAGATAAAAAATAAACTTGTAGGTCTAATCCTCAGGTGATCCCTTTTACCTTTACAAGCAAGTAATTACCAGCAACAGGTGTAGTAGACGGCGGCCCATAGTGAAGGTGACACCACGTGAGGGTAAATTAGGTGGCTGGCTGGCTGGTTGCTGCAGGTGTGTGGCGCAGGTGACAACTGAGAGCTGAATGTACACGATTGAGTGGTTATATCTGTGTGTGTGTGTGTGTAAGAGGGAGGGGCCCAGATAGAGGACTGTTGTTATCTGTGGTTCCTGTGGTGAGTTACGAGGCGGCGTTGGGGTCATGACACTTACAGGCGATAAGTGAAGCCATTGTTGTCGCATTTTAGCGTATTGTTTACTTATCTCTTATCCCTTATGACCGCCTCCCTTAAGACCTCCTCCCTTAAGACCTCCTCCTTTAGGTTTTCCTCCTTTAAGACTTCCTCCTCCAAAACCTGCTGCACCAATTGCTCCTTCTTCTCCTTGCTACCGAGTTCCTTAAGCCAAGAGTGTGGTGAACAAGTGACCTAGATTATTAAGTAAATAAACCTGTATATCTCAGGTGAGTTAATTAATGAAAACCTGTGGTGTGTGGGATTACCTGCGTGGGTTACCTGGAGGGGGGCTAAAGGAGGGAGGTTAAGGGTGTGGAGGAGTTATTTCTCTTGATATTTAACCTTCAGTATGATGAATTAAATCCCTGAGTACGATGTGAATTAACCCCTGAGTACGATACTAACCCTAGAGCATACATCGTCGTACTTGAAGAGTTAAATTGCGCGAACTCTCTGCGAATCTGACCCCCCCCATCACACACCCCTTATACAGTTGCTATTGAAGATGAGAAAGGTTAGTTCATCAAAGGTTCAGGTGTGTCCAATGGTCGGTGTCCAGAGAGAGAGAAGAAGTGATATCGAATCTTTGTTTAATCTTCCATCATCACGGTCCTCCTCCTCCTCCTCCTCCTCTTCTTCCCTTCTCCCTCCTCTTCCTTCTTCCCTTCCCTGACGCTTATTGCAATATCTTCCTCTCTAACTGTTCTGTAAATTCTTTCTCCCTTTCCTCCTCCCCTCCTCTTCTCCCTCTTTCAGGCTTAGACTGCTTACCTCCCACCCCCCCCCTCTCTCTCTCTCTCACACGCCAACACTCTTTATCAGTCTTTCTTTTTCCAATCTTATCACATGTTGTCTCTTCCTCTTTATCTTTTACCTGTGTTTGTTGCTGTGGTGGTGGTGGTGGTGGTGGTGTTGTTGTTGTTGTTATTGGTGTTTTTGTTATTGTTATTTGTTATCTTTGTTGTTGTTATTGTTGTTATTGCTATTGTGTTGTTGTTATTACTATTATGTTGTTGTTACTGTTGTTGTTGTTATTATTGTTGTAATTGTTGTCGATAATTATTATAGAATATTTTTAAGTGGATAATTAGGAAGTTATTGAGTGAATATTTAATTAATTAATTATACAAATATATTAAAGATTTACTGATGAAATAATAAAAAAATAAAATAAATGTGGATAATTAATTAGAAAAATACTTAGACAATAATTTAATAAGTCCATCTAACAGTACGCACTATAATACTTTGACGACTATAATACTTTGACGACTATAATACTTTGACGACTATAATACTTTGACGACTATAATACTTTGGCGACTATAATACCTTTGAGTTGTTTAATGATTGAAGAGTTATTAAAAAAGCCTATTAAGAGATAGAAATTAATGAAGCTCACTAATGATGGACAATTTGGGTGGAGTAATGACGTGAGGTTAATGACTGGATCTAGCAGTTTGTTTATGGCAGAGAGCTGGGTCATAAATAAGGTCATTTAGGAGGAGAAATTAACATGCTTATCTTCACCGCCTGCTGCCGACGTGATCGTCCCAGATGTCGCTTCTGTTCACGTAACCATCACTACTCCATCTGTGCCCAGAAAATCAAAGACCACCTCAATGGGGGTGGTGTGGGTTATGTTGTTGACCCCAGGTGTTGTAATTGTGGTGGCCGGCACAATGCTGACTCACGAAATGCCCCAAACGTCCACCTGTCCAGGAGAAAAGCCTCCCCGAAGGCTGCATCAACCTCATTCCCCCAGCCTACCGGGCGCATCCCTCTGCGTCCCCTCCTCTGGCAACACCTTCTTCAACAACACCTGCCCCTGCCTGGCCTCACCTGGCTGCAACACAACAGTCCCGGCCGTCTCCTAACTCAACTACTACTGGGCCTCTTCCCCGTCTCTACTCTGACGCTGTCAGGCCTTGTGCCCCCAACGGTGCCCCCCTCCGGTGACTCGACACAGATCATATCCCTCTTACACGAATTTGCCAACCGTATTGAAAGACTCTTTGATACACTCTGTACCGACATCTCCAACCTACACAGACTACCCATGCCTCCAGCTACTACCCAGTCACCCCCCTCTTCTGGTTTGACACAAGCTGGTAGCTCCCCTGTGTGCCCCTCATGCTCACGGCCTACTCCACCGCCGCCCGGCATCACTGCTGGCGTGGCACCTCCCAAGCCTGCCCCAGTGTGCCCAGCTATCCCCGTCCACCCACCGCAAGCCGAGCCTGCTCATGGACCAGAGGACACCACCCCCGGCTCCCCTTCCCCCACCGGCATGCCGGCACCTGGGGCCCATCCACTCCTTTTCTCTACATCAATTCACCACCATGTGGACATGCTAGTGGACTACGTATCTACACCTAGAAGGACGTCCCCTACCAGCCTCTCGACGTCCCCCTTGAAGCCGACACTACCGACGTACACGCCATCACAATCACACTAAAGGTATGTCTCTCAATACTGTCAATGCCTATGGCCTGGCACTTGACATTATTAGGGACCTGCCACGCTTTGCCATAAACAGTTAAATTGTACCGGGAATTTACACACACACACCTCATTCTGTCACTTTATGTAACGTGCTGACAAAACCTATGACCCTTCAGGCTTTTACGCCCTTAATGCACGAGTCATAAAGGCAAGCACGAGCTACGCATGCTTCCCAGATGGGCGCTGTAAACGCTTCTGCACTTCACCTCACCTTGCACAAGATGAAAGAGGGTGCCCAATAAACTAGTCCCCTCGAGGGCAATCTAACAATCTTAGCTTCTTGTGTTGGAGGTGAGGGAGAGGTAGATAGGTAAGGGAGAGGGATGATGAGAGAAGGAGGTGAGGGAGAGGGAGGGGAAGAATGAGGGAGCGTGATGTAGGAGAAGGAAGAGAGAGGATGTAGGCCCCACCAACACACACACAACCCAGATACACAGAGACAGTTTGGTATGTGTGACAGAGAGATAGTGGAATGGACAGAGGGAGGGAGGAGAGGTGAGGTATGTGGGTGATAGATCTCTCTGCAATGGCAACTGTTGCTTCAATTTGTGTGGTGGTGGGAGGGAGTGAAGGAAGGTGTGGTGGTGGGAGGGAAGGTGTGGTGGTGTGGGAGGGAAGGTGTGGTGGTGGGAGGGAAGGTGTGGTGTGGTAGTGGGAGGGGTCGTGTGTGTAGAGGGGTGGGCGGTGGTAGTGGTGGTAGTTTAGTTATACTGAAGGGGGAGATTGTCGAAGGTCTGCAGGGTGTGGTGTGGTGTGGTGTTTGACTGACTGATTGATGAAAATTAATTACAATAAGTTATTTGAGGTCTCTATCCTTAACTAGATACATTAACACCAATTAGGGGACCTCTACACACACACACACAGACACAGACACACACACACACACACATAGACACACACACACACGCATAGACACACACACACACACACATAGACACACACACACACAGACACGAGAGAGAAGTCATCTGAGAACTGAGAGATAATCCTACTTTGGGATCTCTAAAGGAGGAGAGAAAACTTTGAGATTGCTTCAACAGGATATCCCTCGGCACTTACCATCGGGGTTGGGCGGGGCGGGTTGGGTTGGGCAGGTAGGGGAGGCTGGGTGGGAGGGGAGGAGGGATGGATGAGGTGCTTGGATCATCTGTGAAAGAAGGTGTATTGAGGGGCATGGCTTTGGGCGGTTCATCTGGGCGTGGTCTTGATGCCTTAATGCCTCAGTGACGTCATAATGCTACACTCCTTAATTATCGTGCCAGTAATTTGACCCCTTGAGTACGATGCCAGCCCTTTGAGTACAGGAGTTATTTTTTAGACGTGTATTACAGCAGGTGAATCACTGTATTTTAGACGTATACTTCAGGAAGAGTTACCGTTGTATCTCAGAGTCGCCTACACTACCGCTCTTTACCTTAGCAGTGTTAAATTAGTGTGTGTGTGTGTGTGTGTGTGTGTGTGCCTAAAGTTGTAATGGGGTTGAGAAAGTTTGAAACATATACAACCAAGATGTGGTCAAGGTTTTACTGCGTTTTAATGTGGTTTGATGTGTGTGTGTGTGGGGGGTGCAGCTTCAGTATATCGTACTGTGAGTATGTATGTATGTGGCGACCTGTTGTGTACTACAGGTCGCAAGCGAGCAGACCCGGGTTCGATCCCCGGGCAGGGTGAAACTATGGGCAACTTTCTTTACGCCATTTGCCTCTGTCTACCCAGCTGAAATTGGGGACCTGCATGTTAATTGTGTTCCAGGGTAATGGTTAGCCAGTGCTGTTGGTGAGTTGTCCGGTCTTCTCGGACTATTCCTTGAAACTGGGTCATGCAGCTCGTTAACTTAGGGTGCAGTTGCTGTGTTGGCAATAGCTTCTACACCTTAAACAAATCAAGCCTGGTGTTAAGAATAAACACACAAACTCCATAACAAACTTAATTAAAACAAAACGAAATAAAAGTAAACAAAAAATACTTTATTTTAGCCAAACAAAATCCCATAATTCCTACATAAAAAGCCCCTCACCCTCTACCCCCTCCCCCCTCACCCTCTACCCCCTCCCCCCTCACCCCCCCCTCACCCCCCTCACCCTCACCTAGAGCTTCAGGGAATATTTGTGTTTGTTGGAATAAACCTGAAAATGATTTAGTTGTTATTGTTGAGGTGATAAATGGTGAAGTTTTTGTTAGGTGAGAGAGGGAGACGTGCTGGGTTATTAAGGCTGTCTAAATATCAGAGGAGGGGGGAAAGGAGGGGGAGAGGATGGGGGGGGCAGAAAATGGTGTGGATTTGGGTAGTGATGTGATGGTTTATTGTCTGTGTCTTACTTCTGTGTTTTGATCTCTATCTGTATGTCTC